GCTTTCTTCTCCACTGTCCCACCTGATGTGTGCCTGCCTTCCTATTTAAGGTGGCCTCTCTCTCAAGGTCATTTCCCTGTGAAAACACACATTTGCAGTAAGGTCCTCTCCCTCTAGCTTGCAGGGGCAGCTATAGCTGCCTCCAACCCAGCATCCAGACTGAATCTGTGCATCTGTCTGCCCTACACCTTAAGCTTCTTATAAGCAGGTTGAGAGGAGATTCCCCTCTGAATGCCCAGGACCCAGGATAGCACCTGTGCTACTAAACAGGAGCTCAAGGATGGTGTTCATTCCACGTTTCCTGAGTATTTCCTCAGTCACGGGGATGGGGGTGGGTGGAGCAGAGATAGAGCAGGGAAAAGAAAAGAGCGGAGGTATCCTGCAGGGGTCCACAGCACCAAGCACTCATCGTAATGCCAGGGAGGACACCCAGATAGGGTGGCTCAGGGGGTCTGATCCAGCCAGGCTAGGGATTGGGAGGAGGCAGGGGATGAGAAGGCAGGAGAGGTACCTCAGAAGAGCCTGGCTGAGCAGCAAGGAAGGGGCTGCCATGTTTTCTGGTGGGACAATGTCTGAGTTACTTTCTTGTTGCTGAGACAAACTACCCAATACCCAAAGTTAAAGGAGGAAAGGTTTATTGTAGTTCACATTTTGTAGAGGCTTCAGTTCATAATTGTTGGCTCCCAGGCAGGGTGGCTTGGCCGAGGAAAAACAGCTCATGGCAGAAAGAGAAGGCAGAAGGCAGCAAGCAACAAGCAGTGACCACAGTAGCCCTGTTTCTGTCCCTTATATTCTATCTAGGCTACCCACACTTAGGGTGGGTAGCACTCACACCCCAGGTGGGACACCCTTAATCCTAGCATCACACCATGAATCAGTTCCAGCATCACATCCTGAATCCCAGCATCACAACTGAGGATGCGGCCACCTCTGAAAAGCTCCACCTATGACTGCATGAGGCCTTGGAGGGACATCTAGATACAAACCATCACAGGCAGGCTAGTTAGCTTGGAAGTGTGGGTTCCGAGGTTCCAAATGGCTTCATCACCCTAGGGCCTCATTCATTCCACATACCCCTCCTGTGCCTGGCTGGGGTGGGTTTGGAGGTTTGGCAATGGCTGAGGCACACACGGCCTTTCCTGGCAGCAGTTGGAGCGGGACCTCCTCATGCAGGACTTTGGGCATCTGGGACATAAGAACAGAATTCATCCTGGGCTTTTCCACAGTGGCCTTCACCCACATGCCTGGGCAGCAGAAGGGACTGAGGCTCTGGGGTTGCTGGCCCCAAGACAGGCTCATTTCACCAGGGAACAGACCTGACACAATAGCTCGATTGTCAGGCCTGGCTCTCCCACCCAACATTTTAACATTCCTGTGATCAGAATGTGTCTCACAATTGATGTGTACGTGGAACAGGACACTGTAATAGCTTAACCCCCCCCCTCCCCAAAGCTATTAAATCAGTCATAAGACTCTCAGTCCCTGTGAGGGAATATAGTTTTGTCGTAGAAACTGCCCCCAAGTGAGGTTTCTGATGTAACCTGTGTATGACCACAAACTCCGAGATGTCTGAGGCTGAATAATCCTTCTATTTGGGATGTTTTATAAAGTCACAGAAAGGATCTGCTATTCAGTGTATTGACTTTTTCTTGAGGCTTCTGCATCACAGTTGTGCAGGCTGGAGTGGGTGGGCTAGAGTGAGTACACAAGTTTGGGTTTGAATCCTTGCTTTTTGGCCACTGGTGGATTATGGGAGAGGTACTGTGCCCCTAGGCCTCAGTTTCCACTTCTCTAAAATGGGAACAGCACTGCCCATCTTGAGGACTCTCTCAGCTCCACAGGCCTCTTCTTTACAGGCTCTCATACTATTGTGTATTTGTATTGTTACTTACCAACTGCCTGGCTCATTCTGCTGGGCTCTGGGCTCTACACAGCAGAGCCCCACCCCCATCTGTGGATTGTCAATTGAGAACATTCCACATTAAATGGGCTACGATTCAAAAGGCCAGAGGTTGAAGGTACCTGCTCTGGGCAAGGTACTGTCCTGTTGTACCTACCAGTGCCGTCTCCCCATGCTGTCTCAGGGCAGCCCAGTGAGCTCCACTTCTGCACTTCTAAAAGAGTTTCCAAGTAGGGGTGTTGAAAAGGAGTAAGTGGTGTCTTAGTGACAAAGACAAATGTTTCCTTGAGGCCCTGCCCCCAAGTGCTAGTGCCAGATCTCTGATGTCAGGGAGAGTGCTGCTGTGTACCCAGGCTATGTGGCTGCCAGGGCTCGTTTGTAAGAGATAAAACCATTGTGCCTCTTCTCTCTCACAAGTGAGTGCCTGTGGACAGCAAGCTATACACAAAAGCCGTGAGCATGTGGCTCTCACATGGGGGGTGCAGCAGCAGCAGACCTGGCTACTGAGGACACAAGGCAAAGACCCAGTGGTAGCATCGAGATAAGAGAATTTGAGGCACCATGAACAAAGCAGTGGGGTGAGCTGAAAGAAGCCAGGCTTGGAGCCAGACAGTCTTGGATTCCAGTTCTACATAATCACTTGACCTTTGGGCAAGTTTACTTCTCTAAGCCTTGGTATCCTCATCTGTAAAATGGGATGCTAAAATTAGAACCTACCTCCTAAGGTTGTGGTAAGGATGAAATGAGATCAAGTACATGTCTCACTTAGCCTCATGGGTACTTCATAAGTCACTGTGAGATCCTTGCACTGCCTACAAACCTGCAACAGTACTCGCAGTGTCACCGGGATGTGTGCATTACACATTTGCATCTGTTCCACCAACACTACCTTTACTGAGAAGCAGTTAGTCAGTTTTTGTTAGAGAGGCCCATGAAGTCAGTCAGAGCGTCTGGCCAGCCTCAGTCAGAGCCTGAGCTGGCCAGAGACGATGAACCATTGTGCTCTAGGCCACAGCAGGGAACCCTGTGGCTTTAACAGCCCCAGAGGCCCATGCTAGAAAAGCACATATTTCACACAGCAGCTTTCAAAATGCCCGAGAGCTCAAAGAGCCCCTGGGACCCTGGAGCCACAGGATGGAAGCTGTTGTCCTGGGCTCAGATCTACCAGTGTTATGTAGAGCAAGATCCACCACCACAGCCAGGCTTGGTGATGGCGCCTTCTTTCCTCTCCTCCTGCAACTCCAGGGCAGGCCTGGCCACTGTTCCTGGTACAGCTCGGAGGAAGTCCTGTATTCTCACCCCCTGTAGTTCTGGGGGATGCCAACAGGCAGACAGTAGTGCCAGAGGGGTAGTGGGATGAGCGGGTACTGTGCCTGTGAGGCTGGAGCTTTGGTCCACGTGTCTATACTTTTCCTTAGTGTGGACCTCAGGGACTCAGATGTACCATAGGTGGCCCCACACTCCTGCCCTACTGGAAGGTTCCTCAGTAGGTAGTGGTGGTGGCCACAGAATTGGCTCTGCCTTCTGGAACTTTTCTGAAAACTGCAGAAGGGTTCTTCTGTGTGTCTACCACAGGGAAAGAATTTGGATCCCCATGCATCCCTCTGTGTGATTCTGATTGTTATGGCTCACAAAAATGGGTGACTAATGTTTTCTAAGTGTTTGCTGCACACCAGGCACTATAGAGGGCTGAGGGCACATGTGTTCCTTCTAAAAAGCAGTGGCATGTGGCTCAGGGCAGCCCTGGAGCCACACCACTGGGCTCAAGCCCTGGCGCAGCATGGATGAGCCACGCAGCCTTTGGCATGGCATTTCACTCCTACCTGTTTCCTCATCTATAAAATGGGGGTGGATAATGGTGTCTACGTTGTAGAATGGTTGTGAGGATTCTGTGGATTGGTAAGCACCTGGCTCCGCTGTTTCTGAGATGGGTACTATTATTGTCTCATTTCGTGTATCAGGAAACTGGGGTTTAGCAAGGCTAACTGTTCTGCCAGAGCCACTTAGCTAGTAAGTAGAAGAGCCCAGACCTGAAGCCAGCTCATGACCTCTACCCTACTCTGCCTGCACTTGGAAAAATCCGTGTGAGGAGCAATTGGCCGGCTTCGGAAGTGGCGTTCTCAACTTTCCCCAGAGCCCTGGTGAAAAGAGATCCTTTTCTGAGTAACCGAACTGGCCCCTGGGAGCTCTCATAATCCCACACAGAGGCAATAGCTGACCCGTGACACACATATCACAGAGGCTGAGGGAAGGATCAGTGAAGAATTTCTGTTTGGAAATGTTATCTAACCATGAGCACTTTCAAGGGACTTGGTATGTGGTGCCTGCACCATGCCTTGCTGGGCTGCCAGGGAAGCCATGTCCAGCTGGTGAGGACCCCAGGGGCCATCCAGTGCTAGAGGGGTCAGGCACCCTTGGGCATAGAGGGAAAGCCAGGGCAGCACTTTGCCCCAGTCACAGTGGCAGAAACTTGTGGGTGACACATCCCATCCAGCACAGGAGGAAGGAAGCCTCAGCTCCTCTCCTCACCCACTGGAGGGATGTGAGCGAGGCTTCCCAGCCCCAGGAAGCTTTGGAGCCAGGGCCCGGCTGCCTCGGGACTGCATTTGCTTCTGCTTTTGCCTTGGCAAGTTCTCCATGCTAGGTTCCTAGGAGCCCAAAGACTAAAGGCACTTGCCAAGCCCTTGGCTACCCTGTAGCTGCCCCTCAAAGCACAAACCTACACACACACATACACACACACCACACACCACACACCACACACCACACACCACACACACCCTGGCTGCTGCAGCTCCTGTGCACCCAGGAGCCGCCTGCCCTCACCCCAGAGGCTCTTTGTCTGGGGCTCACTGATGAAGTCCTCAGCTTCCCAGCCCACGATTTTGCGCCCAACCCTGCCCCTGCCCCTGCCCAGGTTTCCACAGTGCTGCTGGCACATCCTTGTTTGGCTCCAGATGAAAGTAGGAGTGACCCCTGTGGGTCAGCTGCACACACCCCACAGCTGGAGGGGTCAGAGTGGTTAAACCCCCAGCCACAGGGGAGAGGGGCAGCTGGGGCGCCTGCCCCTGCCCCTTTTGCCGCAGCATCGGTTCCTTACCTCTTCCTCCTGCTTGCCTCCCAGGGCGGCTGCTCACATGCTTCACGGTGGCAGTCTGTCCACAGACTCCAGGAGGGGACCCAAGTCGCAGGCCGCACTGGCAGCCCAGCAGCACTGCCTCACTGGCCTCTGCCGGCTCTGCCCACAGCCGGCTCTGCGGGGCTGGGCGGGGGCTGGCCTGGGTGCTGTCAGGCTGATCACAACCTGCTTCTGCTCACAGCGGGGCGGGCAGCTGCCTCAGTGCCATGCTCTGCAAGTCTGGGGCTCGGCAGCACCGCTCAGGGCTCGGGGTCCATCCTCAGGCCGACTGCAGCAGCCTCATTTGAACTCCCAACTCCTTTGTGGAGCCTTTACATGCCGCCAGAGGAAACTCTGAGCACAGCCTGACCCTGGTTGGCTGCAGGCACTTTTCTCCACCCACCAGTGCAAGAGGATCCCCCAGGCCCCAGAAAGGCTCCGGGCCTCCCCTCAGCCCCAGACAGGGGCGGGCCGCCCAGTGATGTCACATAGCTCCGGCCCCAGCTGGCCCGGCCCCTCCCGCCTGCTTTGGCGGCCTCGGCGGCCCCCTCCTTCCTTGGCACAGGCAGCCTGGCCAGCTCTACTCCCTTCCTCACCCGCTCCGCAAAGCCTAGGCAGCTCCAGGGCGCCCTGTGGAGGCAGAGTGCGTCTCTTTACTCAGGTAATGGTTTAGATCCGCTGCAGCTGTGCTTGCAGCCGACCTCCTGACTGCTTCTTGCTGTGCACTGCCCCACAGAGCTGATCTACGGCCACAGCTCAGCCCCGCAGCCTCTGTCTTGTCAGCTCCCTCACTTTCCTCTCCAAACCCGGAGGAAGGAAGCCCAAGGCTGAGCACACAGAAGCTGGAGGCATTAGCATGAGACAGTGGCTCGGGACCACAGGCTGGGAGAGTGCACTGGAGAAGAACTGTTCCTTACCCCCAGATCACCTCTCAGTCTCCCTTCCCTGCAGCAGTGAGTCAGTTATAACCCCCAGCCCCACGCTCCTCACCCCTGTAAACTACCTCAGCGAGATGCCCTGAGGGTTTCCCAGAGGTCACCCAGGGAAGCTTTGCATAGGCTCAAAGATGCTGCAGGATATGCAGGCTGGGATCCCACACCCCAGACCTGCCCAGGCTTAGCCTTAGGGGTCTCATCAGCTGGGATTTGGGGAGTCTTCTAGGACAAAAGCCTGGGACCCATGGAGTCCTTGGCACAGTTGGCCATGTTGGAGGAGCTCAGCAGTTCATAGGACCAGGCAGGAAAGATGTCAGATACCCCCAGACAAGCATTCTCCAGACTCATCAGCCTGTCCCCCAGGGACCAGAGGAGCGCAAGCCTCACAGGTGCTCCAGGGCATAAGTTCATCCCTCTGCTTGAAGTGTGGGAAATACTGCTACATTACTGCCAGCAGTAGAGTCTTTCTCGTGGGGCCCCAGGAGTCAAGGAGCAGAGATAAGCCATTCTACTGTTTCATGTCCAAACTCCTTCACCACAGACTCCAAGAGGGTAACAAAATGGCTGGTTTAGGCTGTTGAGTTTGACTGGTGATTTGTTACACAGCAGCAGTAACGTGAGCAGACCGCGAGGCCAGGGAACTGAAAGAGCCACTGAAAGGTTTCAAGCAACACAGTATGGAGACCTGCTTTTATTTTGGTTGTTGGGCAGCAACTGGCCTGAGGGGAGCCGCAGACTAGGCATTTGGAGCTGGTCACAGTCACAACCATCCTGGCAAAAAGAGGCGACTGGATGCTGCAGCAGCCCTGGGTCTGGAGGCAGTCCCTAGGACTGTCCTGCCCACTGAGACTAGGTACAGCCCAAGCCCCTTGGTTTCTATAAACATTCTCTTTTCCTAGGTCCTATCAGATAGGGAAGGGAACAGCAGGGTCTTGCCCATATTTTCACAACTCTCTGTCCTTTGGTGGCTCAGGACAGTTGCTTGCCATGCTGTGAAGAGCTTAAAAGCCCTGAAGTCAAATCCAGTTCTGCCACTCATTACCTCAGAGCCTCACCTTCCTTAACTGTAAAGTGAGGATAGTACAAATGTGTACCTCACAGGGTTGTTGTGAAAGTTGAATGAGATACGACACATTAGTGTCGTTCACACTGGTGAGTGCATAGTTCAGTGACTGTTAGGTGAAATAAGTTTTATTCCTTCCTTCACTAGGCTGTGAGTATCCTGAGAACAGGGGCCCGGGTGGGCCACATAGGACAATCCTGTTGTTTGGTCCATGCGGAGGAGAAAACTAATAACTGACTGGCTGGGGAGGGTGAAGAGCTGTGCGCACAATCTGTCAGACCTGGTGCAGATCCCAGCCCTGTCACTAATCTTAGACAACTTTCTTATTCTCTTTGAAACTTTGTTTTCACATTTATAAAAACAGAAATGATAACACTTTATGCTCAGGTGAGTGTGAGGATTGAATAAGATAATGCACCCAAAGCCTGGCCTTTGACATCCAGTGCCCCTGCCCCTGTTCCCCACTCTTCCCCTGCTCACCCAGAGCATCTCCCTCAGGCTTCTAAGTTGATGACTCCCAGAGCTCAGAACCCCCCACACCAGGAACTTCATCTCACATTTCCACTTGGCTGTGGGATGGACGCCTTGTATGACTAAAAGCATTAGAGGAGAAAGGAATCTTCATTTTCACTTTTAGCTTTCATCAGGATGAAAAATGTGTAATGTTTATATAGTAACAAAATACAAAGGATCTTAATATATGTACCATAATTTATATAAAGGATTTCATATGCTTTTCATGTTTTATCACTTTTCTGACAGTGACAGTTAATTTTTTCTGTTGGGAATGTTAGGACAGTCTACTGAGATACTAGATACATGGCAAGAGTGTATGTTTGGAGGGGCTATGTGTGTACTACATTAAGCAAGATGTGCTTGGGAGGGGCCACTTTGCTGTGTCTTGCAACCTCAGAGTCCTACTGACATTTAAAGGTGTACATATCCAAATTGACACTCCCATTTCAACCCTTTTAAGATGTCTTGACTGTCTTCTGGCCAACATTGCTTCAGATGGGAAGTCAGCTGCCTTTCCTTAATGTTGTTTCCTGTGTGCATAATGAGTCTTTTTTCCCCTTGGCTTTTTTAAAAAAGATTTTTCTATCTTTGATTTTTGGCAGTTTGATTATGATGTGATTAAGCATGATTTTATGAGTCTTTTGGACCAATGGGTTGGGAATTTTTTTCCACTGAATTTGAGACTATAGGGCAGTGATGGCAAGCCTTTTAGAAATGAATGCCCAAACTGCACCTCAGAACCCACTTATTTATCACAAAGTGCCAACACTGTGATTGAGCCTGAGTACTAAGTAAGGTTTCAGTTTAGAGAAATGACTCATACATTGACATCTTTTGTCTTGAAAGAAAAACAAGTAACACGCATGGCATAGGTTCACCACCACTGCTGTAAAGGAAGTTTTTGACCATTATTTTAATCATTCAAATATTTTTTATGCTCAAGTCTCCCTCTCCTCCTCTTTTTGAACTCAGTTTGCACATGTGTTGTCACACAGGTCATTGACGTTCCATCGTTTACTCATTTATATCTTTTCTTGTGCTTCAGTTTGGATCATTTCTGTTCCCTGTCTCGACCTTCACTAATTCTTCTTAATCAGTATCTCACGTATTGCTAATCTCACCTGAAATATCTTGTTAGATACTATAATTTTGGCTGAAGAATTTCCACTTGTATTATTTTTATAGTTCTCATTTCTCTTCTGGAGTTGCCGATCCAGTCATTCAGTCCGTCCTTCATTTCCTGAAAATCCTGTGCGTTTTTATAATAGTCATTTTAAAATCTTTTGTCTACTGATTTTAACATCTGGGTCAGGAGTAGACCTGACTTTGTTGACTTTTTTTTTCTCTTGACTGTGGATCACATTTTCCTATTTCTTCACGTCTTTAGTTCTATTGTGTACTAGATACTGTGCGTACTATATTGAAGAGACTGTATCGTAACATTTTCTTTTAAAGAATGTTGTTTTGTTCTAGCAGGCAGTTAAATTACTGGATTTTATGGAGCTTGGTTTTTAGGCTTTGTTTAGGTAGATTTATTTTTGTTTTTACTCATAGCCTTAGGCATAATCCTTAGTCGTGGTGTTACTGTAGGACATGGCCTTTGTGGCACTAAATCAAAAGTTTAAATGTCTGCTGAGCTGTTCTAACTTGTCAGGACTTAAACTCCAAACTGATTACCAGGAAATTACTCCTACTACTGATTTCTGTGGTAGTCCTTGGGGTCCCTCTCCATAAGTTAGCTAAGGATTTGAGGGGAACTTGTGTATTAGTACATAAGCTGACACTTACGTAGCTTTCACCTTTCTTCTACCCCTTCCTCTCCAATTTCCAGCCTCAAAATTCAATCCATTTCTCACCTTCCTACAAGTAAGACTGCTGTTTTCTGTTGCAGTCTTGTGTTCTGTGCAGCTCCATGCAGCAGGAAGTGTCCTGGGGCCCCATCACCATCAGGAGATGGTGGAACCTTTAGGAGGTGGGGCCTAGTGGGAGGAAGTTACATCACTGGGGTGTGCCCTTGAGGGGGATACTAGGGTCACAACCTTTCCACTTCTTGTCTCTTTGTTTCCTGGTAGCCCTGAGGTAAACAGACTTCCTCTCCCACATCCTCCTGCCATGATATCCTGTGCTGCCACAGGCTCAAAGCAAGAGGGCCAGTGACCATGCACTGAAACTTCTGAAGTCATGAGCCAAAGTAAGCCTTTTCTCCTTATAAATTGACTATCTCAAGTATTTTTTTTCACAGTGAATGAAATCTAATATACCTCTTAAGAGTTCTATGAGGGAAATATTATGACTCTGTTCTACTAACAAGACATTGAAGCTTAGGAAACTAAAGTTCTCAGCACCAGGCCAAACAGCTAGGAAATAAAAGGACTGGGATTAAAACCTGTGTTATGCTGGGCATGGTGGCTCACGCCTGTAATCCCAGCACTCAGGAGGCTGAGGCAGGAGGATCATTGTGAGTTCAAGACCAGCCTGGGCTATAAAGTGAGCCCAAGTCCAGCCTGAACTGTATAGCAAGACCCTGTCTCAAAAAGACAAAAAAAAAACCTGTGTCAAGCTAGGGAAAACACAGTTTTCCTGAAAACAAACTGCATTTCAATTCTAACACACTCTTATTTTAAGTTCTCTGGAATCAGAATGGATCTTACAGTCAGTATCATATCATAGTCTAATAGGAAGCTTTTTTCTTTCTTAGTGAGACATAACACATTTTATAGTTGAAGACTTCGTGTCAGATTCAAGACAGGGTGGCAGTTTTAGTCATCAAGGCTCCAGTGAGGTTGGCCCACGACTGAAGGACAAAAAGGCAAAGCCCCTCCTCTATGATCAGCTGGTCTTGGAAAGGCCTGGGGGAGTGTCAGGAGCATCAGGAAGCCTGTTGAACTGCCAAGAGCCTCCATCCACCCAGATGTAATAAAACAGCTGCCTCTAAGTTGAGAGCAAG